AACTTCGTAGTATTTGACAAAGGCTGGCTTTCCCACATGTACTTAACAGTGCGATGCCCGGGTGTGATATACAACAATAGTATTCACCTTACCTTTTACCGATTTCTTTTTACCCCAACTTTCAAAAATATCATTAAAATCGACAACAACTGTCAAAGCAGGCACGAACACCATTCGTGCTACGCCTTGAAAGCAGCACACATCCGCTCGTTTTCGTCTCGTCAAGTATGTGCATTGGAGCGTGCTATCGAATACGATCTTCGGACAAAAATGCCGGAGTTGCGCATCATGTTGTTTAATGTCATTGCCTGAACGAACCACAAATAACACACATACATTGCCATTCCGACGACTATGAGCTGCTATGGCAATTTTTCACTAAAACTCCTTTACAGAACAACCACCAGGTCACCTATTCCTTTCACTATTTATTTTATAATTTCCAGTCGTCATACCTCGAGCTGTCAATGTGATACAAGACATCGAGCGATCTATATTTACGCACTTTATCGCTCTTCTACGCAAAACGCCCTTCTTCACGCAGCAACTATTTACGTCCCTTCCCTTTCCCATATCGAAATTTTTTGCGAACGAAAATTTTGACTGAGTCATCCATTGTGATTGCGAAAGAAAAATCCAGTTTGCGTTATCGTCTTGCATTTTATCGGAATTTTATCGGAAATCGGAATTCCTTTTTTAGCGTGATTTACCAGTGCTCTTGCGTAATTCGCTACAATATTCAGCATAAAATGAGTATACGGTCCCTCCAAAACATCAAAACTGAGTAACCATCCAGTTTAACAGTGATTTCCCTACACCCCCCCTATATGGGGTGAACACCCCCCCTAAAATTTCAAACACCCCCCCTAATTTTGAGATGTGATTCCAAACTGAGGGGTTCTAAACCGCAGTCTGCGGGCCAATTAGGGCCCGCGTAACGATTTAAAATGGCCCGCCGAACTTGAGTGAAATAGTTTAACCCTTCATGTGGTACCTTTTGAGTTTTAGATATCGTCTATTGTTACATCATTATCACAGTTCAAGCACGTTTATTTCGTAACAATTGAATTATTCCGATATCTTATGTATACGTATGGGTATTAGGATTACACTGCAGTATTTTAGATATCAGCCGTATATTAAGAAAGCTTAAAGATGTCACAAAACGAAAACTAGGCACTGAAAGCAGACGTTTTTTAGATGAATGACAGCGTTTTATTTCTTTATTGAAAAGAATCAAACTTCAGCGATTTGTCTTCTTACCAACAAAATATTTCAGTTCTGAAGGAATACAACATTATGCGACATTATGATCAGTTGACGAGCGTATTTCAAAATTTAATTCATACAAAAGTCAAACAAACATGTTCAAAAAAATTAGAAAATGTGTAACAAAACTAGCCATAAGTAGGCATTCATACAATGCCAGATGAGCAAGTAACTTCATTAGTCACTATCAGTTGCAAATTACTTGTTTGAAACGTAGTAGTATATATTTACGGTTGAAAGCCGTGCTTGTTATCTATTCCCCGGGAATTCTATCAGCTAGATATTATAATTATTGATTTCATTACATAACAAACTGCGATGCTAGGTGTATCTAAAATCAAGCTTATAGCCTATTTTGGTAACTATTTCTCAGAATTTTCTCAGGGCGCTAAGCGCGCCCTGAACCCCAGCCGTATCGTCCCGCACTTTTCCTCGCTCCCCTTTTCTGGCCCTACAATTTCATTCTGCTGTGGATTGGCTCGCCGTCAATCAACTTACGGGGGCCCTCATGTACATCGTTTCTTAAATACATACCATTTTTTTTAAGAATACAAATAGCCTAGTTTTATCTCTAAAAGCAAATTATTTACCACCCCCTAAATTTTGAAACACCCCCCTATAAAAATAAAAGCTGGGGAACATACTGCAGTTTAACCCCACACAATTGAAATGTATTCTTATAACGGCCGCCAATTAAAAGTAATGTTCAGATGTCTCATAAATTTAAATTTGAAGTATTTGTAATTTTTTCAAAACAATCTATCGAAGAGCTGTGTTCTGGGCAAAGATGTGTTGCTTCTCACGAATGCTCATTGCAAAAACAATGGAGGGTATTCACCTCTTTAGCGCCTCCACTGGATAGTGAGCAGGACGTCAGACGACGACTTCGCGATTGTTACTCTGGCGCGTTTTTTTTTTATCTGTCTGTGTAATGGCTCAATCAATCAATCAAGTTTATTTTTTTCCAACCAGTAAAAAATAAAAATAAATAGATAACAACAGGCACAAATTACAAGAAAATAGTACACAATTTTACTGGGGAAGGGAAGTCGCGGGGAACCAAAACTGGTTATCGAGCAGCGACACCCGAAGTAACCACTGTTATTATTGGATTATTATTGAACAACAAATAAGGTGAACACTGAACACAATAAATAAGGTGAACACTGAACACAATAAATAAAGTGAACACTAAAAAACAAATACGTTGAGCTATTGTTTACAGGGGGGGGGGGGGCAATTCTTTTTATAATTTGAAAGTTGGAGGGGCTGTTTTTTCTAATTGGGCACTAGTTGCAGAATTTGTTATTGTTATTATTTGAGGGAAACTGTTATCAAAGTTGTTTGAGATTTGGGCAAAAATTATGGAGCATGGACATAGCAGCAATACAATAATAATATAACTTGAATACGTGAGAAAAAAAAAGCAAGGCTGAGCGTATCTTTAGCGACGATTTGAAATATCTTCCTGATTTTAGTTTTGATGACATTACAGAATAATGCTGAAAAGCATGCTGGGAATGGAAATAGCGCCAAAGAGAGGATACAAATACTTCTGGGAGTCTTTCATCCACGATTACAAAGGTATGGTAAGTTAGGTAGGGCAAGTAAGATTTTTCAGCGAGCGCGGACATGATGATGTCACACTGTACCGTAACCACTGTTATAATTTTAAGCATAAGAACGTCAGTAAATAATGACTTGTTGATGTACATTTCATCATGGGCTATTCAGGATTTACCATTATTTATTTTTATAGGGGATCTAAAAAGGCCAGGGGGCAGCTTTATAATTTTACAAAGCTTTCCTAGAATTCTCCCGTTTTGCTGTTTGGCATTTTTGTACAATGGAGGAGTTAAATCAACTTATCTTAATCTCATTACCACCTAGGTGTCGGATTAAACCATGCTGGAATATGGCAACAACCATTGGAAGCAAATTAAGCTGTAACTTATCACTAATATGCATTATTATTTTCACAGTTTTCCAAGATGGTTCAGAATTTTTAATAAAGGCAAGATGTTATCGATCACAAAGAAAAAAACGAGCCACCTCATTCATTATTTGTAAACTTTGCGACGGACAATGTACTGAGTGCTACTTGCTCTTGTACAGTGGGAGAAGCAATTTGCTGATCATTTTTTAGCATTGTTGTACTGCACTGCGCATTTCAGCCAATCTCCAACTAAAGAAAGTCCCCCCAGCTATCACTGGCACTATGCAATTTACAATCATGGCATCATCCAAGAAGCGAAGGATTCAAGGCAGCTGCCTATCCAAAAATATTATTTAAAATCCATGTTCGAAATCCATTCAGAACAATTCGCAGCATTCTACACAAACCTGGAAGAAATCCCGCAATGGCAGTGCTTTCTAAATTTCAGTCAATATAATATTCAGTTAAATACAATTTTGCCGTCAAATTCATCTTCTGTTGTAGATATTTCAAACAAATTTTGGACAAGCACCATTTGGAGATCCTCTAGCATAATCAACCAGATATGTGATGAGAAAAAGTTTTGAATTCCCTTCTCTCCCTCTGTCTAGTTTGTCTCCACAGACTAACACGGTGTTAACAGAAATGCAACACAAAGTGATGCAAAATCTGACCTTTTGGCAGAGAAGATTGTAAACACATTTGAATTTATGACTCGAAATCAGTATAACTCTCCGATTTGGTACCAACAACGAAAATTTTGGAATTACAGCATCCAAATTTGGCCGAATTTATAAACGTGTTTCAAATTTTGACTCCCTTGCTTCAAATCTTACTTCTTCCAAATTATTTCAAACTGCAGCAATGAAAAGAGGTATCCAAATGGAACCAGAAGCAGTAAAATTATACGAGGAAATAAAAAAATGCCAGTGTTCCCCATGTGGATTGGTAATATCTTCAACTTGTCCCTGGTTGGGGTGTTCACCAGATCGTAAAGTTTACGACCCATCTTGTGATGGCAACCTATGCTATGGCTTATTAGAAGTCAAATGCCCTATGTCTGACACTTTTGACAAGGTTTCTTGTCTTTTTAAAAATGATAAAGGGGAATGGACATTGAAAATGAATCATGATTATTATTTTCAAATAATGGGGTGTTTAGGAATCACAGGACTCAAGTGTGTGACATCATTATTCTTTTACCTTCGGGTGCATGTTTTATTGATCGCATATTTATTTTCTGGACCTACAAATGCGTCTGGAATCCTTTTTTATGATCATTTCATAAATACGGTTGCGACAAACATGTCATCTTGAGGACAAAAATTTTTCACTTTGTGAAATGTCTGAAGGACAATATATATCAAGAGAAAAACTTGCCTAGGCATTTATGTATTTTATTGCTTTAAATTTAGAATGTAGTAACCAGTTGCTTTGGGCTTTCAACTATTTTTCAATAAATTAGTATTTTGTGTATTCGCCATAGTGCAATTTGTTGAAAACAGGCGAGACAGGCAGTACAAAAGGCTATTCTGAATTTTCCCTTTTCTTTTACTGTTAACCTAATATAATGTTGTGACACCCACACCCTCTGCTGTATATTCTAACAAAGCTAAGATCTTTAAAGGGACATAAAATATGTCCTGAATGTATTTGATAAACTAAACTGCTCGAACTAAAAATAATTATTCAACAATAAACAAACTGAAAATAAAACTAAATAACTACTTCTAAAACAAAGGACCGCTAAAGTTGGTTAATAAGCAAGCAACGGTCCATAGTTGATTAACTGTTCCTAGCATATACTCAGTGGTATTCTGCCTTCGAATAACTGATATTCTTTCACCCTTCTGATTGCTCGTTCTACGTGGACTCTAAGTGAAGCAATCTTGCTGGACCGCAATGCCTCCTCATATGTGAACCGCCCGTTAAAGTTGAATGGAGGAATATTTAGACCCACACCTTTCACTTCCAAGAGACTCCTGATGGCAAATCCTTTGTCGCACATTACGGAATCCCCTCTTTCAAGCAAACTCAAAATTCCAGATCTCCGGGTTATTTCACTGTCTGATATGCTACCGCAAAATAATAAACTGACAAAAGTTATTGGACCATGGGGAGCAATACCCAATAAACATTTTAATGTTGTATGGTTTTTATAAAATGAAAAAAACTCACTTTGGAGCATGAGTGAAGATGGTGACTGGCATAAAATTTCACAACAGTCAAGGACTATGCGTGTAGATCCATAACCTTGGTTTTTAAAACACTGTGGCATATTTTCATAAACCTGCTCACAAATTGGGATAGATGCCAAGGTAAAATAAAGAAAATTAGCCCATGTGATAACTATCCGAGAGACAGTGGACTGTGATATGCAAAAAACATCACTAAGATGGATCTCATCAAAGCCCTGTCTCAGACGACACAAAAATAAAAATAGTTCATCAGCCAGTGGAAGCGATCGCTTCTTACAAGGGTGGTCTAAAAAATCGCTACTTCCATTATAAACTTCTTCGCTTACAGCAGACCATAGTGTTAAAGAGTTAGCACAGTCCAACAATATGTGGAAAAAGTCAATCAATAAACAATAGGAACTAAAGCCAGTATAATATTTAATCATGGAGCTTGACGCCTTGAAACGTTCCATACCGAATTTAGATATTGACAGCTTTGAAACTTGAGTTTTTAAATTCTCAATTTCTTTTAAAGCTTGCTCAAGTTTTTCTTCAGCTGTTTTCACTACAATGCAGTAGTTGTGATCCACTTGAGTAGGATTAATGTGATTAAAACTCAGACTGCTGGTCCGACTGCTTGGTACAGTGGCATCATCAGTGGTTCTGTACAAATATAATAAAATTCATTAGCAAAGAAATCACATATTCATCCTGGGGAAAGGAAGGATGATAAGACGGCTCAATTATATGATGAACCAGATATCGGTGAAAAGTCATATTGTACCCAAATTACAGCTTCAAGTATTGAATCCTCTGCATTGCATGTATATGTGTAATCAAATAATGGCACTGAATTGACTATTGTTATGGCTAGCTGTGAGGCAACTAGCAAAGTTGAATGATGTGCTTGGTAGTCTAAATTAGTATCTGGCTTTCTATCTTTTTTGTCGGGAATATATGCTAACAATGTAGGCATCATAGAAAACTAAGAACCGAATACAGATTCTATTAGCCAGAGCAGGCTATATCTTATAACTATGTGTTTGCACAATGAAAGTGTTTATTTTGTATTGCACTGTTTACCTATTCTTGGCACTATTGTGGCCCGCGAACAATGCAAAAATAATTTTGTGGCCCGCGGAGCCGACAATGTTGGACCACCCTGATATTCTAGACTTTTATAGTCTGTCAAAATATTTTTTCAAATTGGTTAATTTTAAATTTTGGTTTGATACTAGTATGGTGGTATAGTCTAATTCAAAAAATGATATATTCTGTTTTACCTCAGTCTGTTTGGCAGTGGTCTCTCTGCAATTAACTTTGTCCAACTAAATTTTGATGGAACTGAGTTGTGGTGCAAACGGCGTCGACCAGAAGGCGTCTCATATATGTCTTCGGGTCTGAAATGGTTGCCACAAACTCGCGTGCTTGGTGTAATCTGTTTTAATAAGTCAAAATGAACTAGCTGATACGAACGGAATAAATAACACCAACTAAAGTGAAGCTAGGCTTCAAGGAATTAATGTATGCCACCTAATAATAATATAGGTTATCAAGTTTAGCTTGATTCCCATAATCAGTACACCAGGAAGATATTGACAAAATAAACACTTATTAGTCTACAGAATCAGAAGAGCCCTAACTAAGATTTGAAAAGAGCAGAAGTTAAATTAATTTAATTAAGTGATTCAAGAGTCTTGCTGCACACTAAGACTCACAGCAAGACTCTTAAATCACTTAGGATAGTTATCTTTACTCTTGCTACAGCATCCTTGCATGCATACCGATCCGCCGGCACAAAAGCATAGAAGAAGGATAAGTAGTTAGTTTCGTAGAAACCAAATCATTAGTTAAATTAATTGTTGCTAAAACTGCAAAAGAAAGTCGTGGGCTGTGCTCACCTTAAATACACTCACATATGGCCTACAACCGCATAGATATAGCCTAATAACTAAAGTAGAAGCGAGAAGAGAAAATCAGGGTCAAAACTAAAATTAAAAAAACCAGAAGAAAAAAATATTTGCCACAATATACTGACTTACTTGAAAATGTTTACCAGGATCGCGACGAATACTGTGAATCCACGCTCTCTTCATTTTTGGGGAAAGAGTGGAACGATAAGTCTGGTGAGTAACGGCTATCGCCATTACACAACGGTACGCAGCAATGCAATTTGGAACCACCAGACGCACGAGCCGCCATTGCAATCGAAAAGCCCAAACCAGTCCAACGTCGCGGGAAGCAGAAGACGAGGCGCAGTTCTTACCACTTCATGGCAGCTCCTGCCACGAACGTACCACGCCGTCTCCTGCCATGGTTTTATGGCGCTATTACCGTATATTTACAAATTCATGTACCATATTTTAGTTTATCATGCGAAATTATATCTACTTAAACCCTAACCCTAACCCCAAATCCATCCAAACTGTATCCATAAGAAAAACATTCCAACTCACCAAATATTTATCACCATCAGCAGATTAGGGGCAGCCCTGCTATTACAGCCGACCTGCCGTGGTTACGGCAGTAAAATTGGTGGTATTCGATTTGCTGCCGTAACCACGGCAGCTCGCTATTGGTTTGTGGCAGCTAAAAAGTCAGTCGCCGTGGGTTTGGTCTTAGTGGCCGTGGTTTGGAAATCCCGCCATGGTTTTGCGGCAGCTGTAGACGCCACAAAATACTTGAAACTGCACTTGCAGAAGACAGTACTTTCCCGCGCATGCCCACATAAAAACAAAATGGCGACGCTCAGTGGCGATAATGAATACCCTCCATTCTTAAATCAATCAATTTTAAATAACCTTTGACCCGAGAAAATTCATCGAGCGCCGTAAGTTACCTGTTTCAGTAAATTTCGACGATCCAGTCCTGAACAGAGGATAGGGTTTACATATTTATCCCGGGGAGAGGAAAGCATAAGACGACTTAACCATATGGCGAACCACGGACTCTTGTCAGGACTATCCGTTGAGCCGAAAATATTGTTCGAGTTTATTTTTTACGTTTATTTTGACTCCATACCGGCCATACCGTAGTCAGCATAATAGACGATTAAAGAATTAGTGAAAATAAACTAAAATTGGTTACAGAATTAGCATGTGGGATTGAATACGGAAAAATTAAATACATACCGTACCAGTCAGCCAGTAAAAACACATAGGATATTAATTCAGGTGTCAAGTTTGGCTCTCATTCGGACGCTGAGTTAAACTGATTTAAATTTTTATCTTGACTCACAACTATTGGGTACCGGTATTTGAAATCTGGGGCTCCCGAAGTATGCGAACCAAGATGGCGGACATTGGAATGTAATAGGTGTACTAGGTTAGAGTTAGGCCATAATTTTAGATATAAATACTACGGGAGGCTCTTGGCTAGTCTTCGAACTGATAATAGGACTAAAATAAGGAAAATTGGAAAAAAATTATCGCCTAACCTGTTACCAATGTTACGTTCCGATGTCCGCCATCTTGGTTCGCATACTTCGGGAGCACCGAAATCTGTTTAGTGGTTGTTTTATACCGTATTTTGGAGGCGCAGTTCTTACCACTTCATGGCAGCTCCTGCCACGAACGAGCCGTGGCAGCTCTTACCATGGTTTTATAGCGCTATTCAGTATTCAGAATTAACGGTATGTTCACAAATTAATGTACCAGATTTTAATTGATCATGCGGAATTATATCTACTCAAACCCTAACCCCGTCTCCACCCAAACTGTATTCATAAGAAAAACGTTCCAACTTGCCCAATATTTGTCACTATAAGGGACAGCCCTGTCTTTACGGCCCACCTGTCGTGGTTACGGCAACAAAATTTCACCTGCCATTGGTTTTCAGTTTGCTGCCGCGGTAACGGCAGCTGGTCATTGGTTTGTGGCAGCTAAAAAGTCAGTCGTCATGGGTTTGGCCGTAGCGGCCATAGTATGGAAATACCGCCATGGTTTTGCGGCAGCTGCAGACTCAGAATTCTTAAAACTGCACTTCAGCACTTGGTATTTTGCCCACTCGGGTTGGAAGTTTCTATTCTAAGCATGGATCGAAATATCTGTTTTTCACTGGTGGATTTTCTGAAGTGTAAAATACAAAATATGTCATTTTATTGGGACAAAATCTTGCGCACATAACTCAAATGTATCAATTTGATATGGAGGGGTAGGCTAAACATTCATTTATTTCACCATCCTGGTAGCAAAACCTTATGAGCAGGGATGGCCATACCATCGACTATTTCGAATACATTCTAAAAATATTCTCGATACTGAAATTCCGAATACATTGTAAAATCTCCCTCATAAATACAATTCACTTTCCTAAAATCCAGGGACATATAAATTAGGCTTTGATAATGTTATCATTGTAAAGCAGTCGTAAGGCATGTGTGATATAAATGAAATTGCTCTAAGAAAGTAGACCTGATAAGCATTACGGTATTTATACCCATAAATTGTGGATGTAATTGACACAAAAATAAGAGCATCTAGGCTCCCAGTTTTAAATCATAGTGTAGAAATGTCTTTATTAACAGCATAGCCTACGCACTTTTTGGTAGGGTTATAAATTATGACTGTTTATTGTTAAGCGCTAGTGTCATTTAGTCCATCGACATCTTTAAGCTAAATTCTGACTCAATTATCTTTCTACACAGGTATTAAATATTGTGATTCCATTAGTTTTAACTATACAATTTCCTCATATATTTATTGCCGTGGTCGCCCAGACTATCTCGAAATATACGATAATATTTGCGATATATTATGAAGTAATAAAATCAGAAACATCCTCGACGGGTTATAGGTATTTCTACCCAGCGCTGATTGAAATCCTCTCAATCCGGCTGTAATTTATTGTCGCAACGCACGATTACGATAAAACATAGAATGAAATATATTTGAAATGTTTTCACTTAAAACGTGGACGGCGGCACTACGACGTGTGGGCGATATTCGATATTCTTATAATATGATATTCGAAGGTCGCGTTATTAATATTAAATTCGAAATGGACATCCCTGCCTAGGAGTTATCTAAATGAACACCAAGATTACTAGCTTCAGTACACAAATGCATCTAATTAATTAACGCATCCGAATCCCAAACATCAATTTCTTATGATGTATTATATATTTTTTTCAATCTGAAATAATGTGTAGTATGAATAATGCTCAACGACTAGTGTTGCACACGCAAGGCAATATTTACATTGTATCGGAATATCTGCAATATCGGCCGCTTCGTAATATCAGTGTATCGGTATCGGCGACAAAAGTGGTATCTGTATTTCTCTAGTCTATACCAAGCAACTTTGCGTATGTTATTGTATATTTTTATTATTGTTACAATGCTCGTTTTTTCTGGTTGACGAAAAATATATCTCTTCAGTGGGTTCGATTTGAACTAAAAGCATGTTTCAAGAATTTTTTTCTGCGCCATACAGACTCTTTTAAAATCGAACAAATTTCTGTTTGGCGTTATTCAAGCAGTTTTGGGGTTTACTTCGCAAGACCCGGGACAGGCTGGTGAAAGCCTGTTTTATCCACATTTTGATGGACTTCTTTTAATTTTTACGTTTATCCATGTGCTCATGCTGAGAGTTATCTGAATACAGGAATACAAAAATAAGCTATTACTATTACAGTATCGCTCAGTTCTTCCGATTCCAAGAATATAACCCCCACATTATGAGATAACAATGAATGCAAACCCCTCCTTCAGCAGTCGCTGTGCAATAAATTAAAAGAAAACGCAGTCTAAAAATGTCACCATTGAATTCCTTCGGGAAAAAAAAATTCTGTAGCATTCGAGAGATTTTAGCAAAATATATTTGACAGAACAACTTTTGGTTACAACACCATTGACTCTTGTCACGATTGCACGACATACATGGTGCAATCTTAGAAATATGCCGTTGTGGAAGAAAAAGAGATCTTGTTTTATGTATCCAAATAATAAGACATCTTTAATAATACTGAGAACCACTAAATGTCTATTTTATTTGGCTTGCAGTGTTGCAAATCGTGCCAAGCGTTAGGGATACGCTCGCCACGCCTCTGATTACTTGTGTGAGTTCACGGGTTCAAATCCCATATCGGGATAGTTATGTGACTCTTCGCCATCGTAGGTTACAACTTCCGTCACCATCAAGTCGCATGCTCCCCCAAAACAAATAATACATTCGCCATACCGCACATGAACTGGTAACCAGACGAGATGCCGTGGTTTGCCATATGATTAATCGTATTATCAGCTTTCTTCTCCCCCCGAGATAGGTGTGCCTAGATAAGTAAGGAAATATCCGGTTATCACCCCGTCACTAAATTTTTTATCGTTTTGTTTTGTTTCCTATCATTAATTCTTTTTTGGGAGAAATATTACTTGTATTTAGTGTAGTTTTAATTATATTGATTAGTTATTATGCAAATTTTACAATACTACCATCACAAATTCTAGCTGACTTTAGTCTGCATTTTAAATTTTTTCAATTGCTCAGTTCTGAAAGTTGACAGGGCCACACTGAATAGCTTGGTGTTCTTGGTTGTAGCCCACGGCCGCCGGTTTCACGCTCCGGTTCTTGTGGTCAAATTTGGTACTCATATAGTATGTGAACAAGATGGCGGATAGCAGAACGTAGTATGTGTACCTGGTTGGAGTCGGGCCATAATTTCATGTACAAATACTACAGGAGTCACTTGGCTAGTCCCTGAACTCATAATACAACTAAAATTGGGATAAAATTATGGCCTAACCTGGTACACATACTACGTTCCGGTGTCCGCCATCTTGGTTCACATACTATGGGAGCGCCCTAAATTTACCTTTGGAAGTTTGTTGAAGAGATAAAGGAGAGAACAAACGTCTAACCTTAGGTAAACAGAATCAAAGTTGTCTGTGCCTGATTGACCGTGTATTATTATGTACCATTCTAATCTTTCAGGTCTAAATTAATCAAGCTGAAAAATTGATATGTAATATTAATCTGGTTGAATTTCAATCAATATCGCACATATTTGATGATTAAAATTGCATTGTAACACGGTTGGTTGGCTTCGTCGTGGTCCATTGAACATAACCTAGGTAAGGCTGATGATGATTATATAACGAGTGACGTTACTCAACTGTATTACTTTGGAATAAACTGACTGATTTATTTACCACGATGGCGGGAATACGCGAAAGAAGCGTTTGTGTCGAGCTCGCAATGGAGGGAGAAAGACTTTGTAAATCTGGCGACTGTCGAGCTGGAGTGCAATATTTTGAAGAGGCTGTGAGACAAGGCACAGGTGAGGGATTTTATTGGAACTTATGGATTGCTTTCAAAATTGTTTTTCTAACGTCAGCAGTTTGTCCATAGGAAACGGAATATTTTGTTTTGTAACCTCATCTATGGTTTTTCTAGCAGTGTTGAGTTGTATTTTTCCAAGTTCTTGTTCCAACTACTATCCACTGGCATGTCTTTCACAATGATAAACCTAAGCTTAGAGTAATAGTGTTAGCTTGCAACTCTTCTGTCAGTACACTCTCTTTCCACTTTTAGTTGAGGACTTGGGACCATGCTTTGAGCAAACTTGCAACTCTTCTATCAGTACTCTTTCCACATTTAGTTGAGGGCTCGGGACCTTGCTTTGTGCAAACTAACCGTATATACTCGCAGATAGGTCGCAATTTTTTCTAATATTTAAAAAAAAATATAGGTGCGACCAATCCTCTTTCTACCCTCAGTTGAAGGCTTAAACATTGCTCTATTATTTTACAGAGGATCTGAAGACACTCAGCGCAATCTACAGTCAGCTGGGCAACGCATATTTTTATCTGCAGGAATATCATAAAGCTATGGAATATCATAACCATGACAGAACCTTGGCAAGGTGAGACATCTTTTGGTACTCCTTTAGTATGTGAACCAAGATAGCGGACACCGGAACGTAGTATGTGTACCAGCTTAGGGTTAGGCCCTAACTTCAGGTACAAATACCACAGGAGTCACTTGGCCTAGCCCCAAACTCGTAATAGAACTAAAATAGGGAAAATCAAAATAAAATTATGGCCTAACCCTAACTTGGTTACACATACTATGTTCAGGTGTCCGCCATCTTGGTTCACATACTACGAGAGCGCCCATCTTTTACCTTTAGTTCGATTAGCTAAATTGCTGTTGTTGTGTAAATCACTTTGTATGCTACTAATGGATTTTGGTAAAATAAAAAATCATTTTTCTACTAGTAACAATCAAGGCTATTGCGGTCAAGAAGTATTTATTATCGACTAATGGGTGAAAGTATTTCACCCAAAACTGCTGGATTCCAAGCTTAAACCTTGGTTAGACGAAGTGATACAGGAAAATGATTATGTTATTGTGCAGAAAGACTCTTGAACTAATGACAATCCTATTCAGTTTGAGAAATTTATCATTTTTTCATATAATATGATAACTTGAAAACTAGTTAGCGATCGGAGACTGCCGACTTATCAATCTGCGATTTCGACTTCTTCGCTCCGACTCAATAGCAACACCGCGTGTCTCATCACTAATTGATTGATAACTCACTAATTATACGACATAATTCATCCAAAATCAATAGGCTTCTGGTCCGAGATATGATGAATGCACATGCAAAATATTTGGAGCATATTGAACCTCGCTTTTGTGAGATATTGCGGAACATACAAAAGTGTCTAACAGACAAATACCTATCAACATACTTACCGATCGAGGTAGCGAGTAATAAGCAGGGTTTCTGAATTTTTTGGTATTATGGAGCCCGTGAAAAGGTTGACTATTCTTTATCGAGCCCCACAATAAATTTATAAAAATAAAAAACACATTGTTACTCAATGATTAATGTTACTGAGTGAACTTAAATCACTTTATTTAATGACTCGAATGTATTTGCTCCTTCGTATTTTAAAAATATTTATTATTTCAAATATTTCCAATAAGTAAACGAATAGTTCTCAGAGCCTCTAGGTTTTCTAATGAATCCTTGGAGATCCTCTTCGAGCACTTCAAGACCAATTGCGTTGAATGTTATTAAAGATATTGATTTGTAAACCTGATTGATTCTGAATTACATTTTGTTCATTTATGCTAATGATTATGGTGCTTAAAGATCACCTGTAAACCCTTTTTGATGAGAGCAATATTGGATAAGCAGAGTGTTAAGATTAAAAATTAAATCGACATGTTATTGCTTGTATCTGTGGTACGTGATTATATTGACGAAGCGCAGCTTAAATACTCTTGATATATTGTGAGAAAGGATTTGTTTGAAATTAGTCTGGCAGGGTAAGAGCATCAGTAGTAAGAAGGGAATAAATCAGGCGGTTGAGAATATTAATACATGCAGCACTGGTGCAAACAAACACAAAACAACGAAATTAATGTTAAAGATATAGACCAGGGTGGTCCAAATTCAGGCCAGCGGGCCACATGTGGCCCGCCGCTTCATCATCTGTGGCCCGCGTCGCATTCGGAGAGGAATCAAAAAATAGCATTTCGTGTTGTTTCGTCATAAAATCAACCAAAAATCTTTTGACATATTGTTGCATCACTAATGTCACTGAATTGACCAGTGTTATGGCTGGCTGAGGCAACTAGCGAAGTTAAACGAGCGAAATTCTTGGCACTATTGTGGCCCGCGAACAATGCAAAAGTAATTTTGTGGCCCGCAGAGCTGCCAATCTTTGGACCACCCTGATATCGACCCTCGAAACGATCACTAAACCAGGGGTGGGCAAAATTTTTTAGTATAAGAGCCATATGCGACAAGTCAGAAATATGTGAGAGCCGCATGATTTTCGAAATTAATGATATTAGATTACCGTGAACTGAAAAGAACTTTACACAAACGTTTAATAACAATATTGCAAAGTATATATCGCAAGGCGATATCAGAAGTTGTTTACTTGTGTGTTCTCATCCTGTCTGAAAGTTTTTAAGAGTCTTTGTGATATGTGCCAACGCAGCAGCAAACATTTGATCATTGTGATGTAGGATTTGTTGTTTGACTGATTCGAATTCCACGCTGCGATTTTCATACTAAAACATAATTTGTCTTAATCATTGATGAAAACTTTTTCAACCGCCTAATGAATTTAAAAAAACTGTTTCGCTACGGTTTCTCTTAATTAATTTTATTAAATTTGGATGATAAATAATGCTAACGAGAAGAAGCCGCATAAAAAGTCCGGCGAGTCGCAGTTTGCCCATCGTTGCGCTAAACTATATCAAATATTGGGTATAACCTAAAATCACACCTTTTTAATGAAGGCTGGAACAAAATATATTTGAGAAGTTGCGACTCTGATTGGGGATTTTGAAAATACGACTCTTTATACTCTACTGCCCTCTAGTGTATTCTATCTTTATCCAAATGTTAAATTTAATTATATTTCTTTCTACTTAGAACTACCGGAGATAAAATAGGTGAAGCAAAAGCAAGCGGAAATCTGGCTAACACTCTCAAAATGCTCGGAAAATTTGAAGAAGCTGTCGCTTGCTGTGACCGACATCTTGAGATATCAAGAGAATTGAAAGACAAGGTAAAACATTTACTGTATTTTACGAATTCATCCAAATGGATTGGTATTATGAACAATGACTAGATTAGGTTTTTCTTCGTAAGGCGCAACAGTGTAGGCAATAAAGCATTATCTTATCCAGGCATTAGGCTCCATGCAATTATGTCATGTCATATTTGCAAAAATAAACTTTTTTATTTTCTATCATCTTTTAGTCTAGGTTTCAAAAGATTACTGGTTTAGTTTTAAATAGATCTTAGGCATACAAAGCGCACAATAAATTTTTTGAGAAAATTTTTCATCCAAAGTGCACATTAGGGTCCGTTAAATACCGGTATCGTTAATAATCAACTTTGCCGAAGCAAGGGAGACTCATCTCAAGGTTAAGGGTAAATACCGCAATACCTGGAGCAACTGAAACCATAAAAACGAGAATATCGGTTAGAGACCCATGACTTATCGATCGAAAGTTAGGGGATACCCCAAAACAGCGCTCTTACTCCATAGTGACACCCTTGTGTCCAATCACTAATTAATTAATAACTCTTCTGGTACGACATATGATGAATGCGCATGCAAAATCTGGAGCAGATTCAACCTCGCTTTCGTGAGATATTGTGTGTATCTACAGACAGACAAACAGACAAATACCTATCAACATACCCACCGATTAAAATCGATGAGTAATAAAGTTTCGGAGGTGGCAATCTGTGGCAAGCAATAATTGATTAACACTAATCTGAGACCACAAGAAAATATTCTAAATTTCATTTTTTGCAGGCGGGGGTTGATATCTAAGCAAAATTACTTCCAACCACTGAAATGCCAAAGAGCTGCTGTTATTAATTGACTGGACTGGAGCCGCAATCAATACTTATAGATTTTAATTTATTTTTCCAGGTGGGGGAAGCTCGTGCTCTTTACAACCTGGGCAATGTTTATCACGTTCAAGGGAAACAAGGTCTGAACAGCAGAGCGATCGATCGTCCCCCCCAACACCCGGAAGAAGCCGTAGGGTTAATGAGAAAAGCAATAAAATATTACGAGTAAGTGGTGTTTTATTTCATACGACAGCTTGTTTTTGGATAAGATAAGATTTACATATTTATCCTGGGGAGAGGAAAGCCGATAATACGGCTTAACCATATGGCGAACCACGGCCTCTCGTCCGGTTACCATTCCATGTCGGGTATGGGATTAGTTAGGTGTTTGTTTTTCGGAAGCATGGACTTGATGGTGGAGGAAGCCGTAACCGACCAGCGGTTACGTGAACCACCCTACGGCGACGAGGAGTCCAGCAATCCTCTTGCACATAACCATCACGCATGGGATTCGAACCTGCGAACCCACGCAGAGTAATTAGAGGTGCGGTGACGAGTGTATTCCCAACGCTTATCACGATGAGCCACACTGTCACGCCAAATATATTTGGTTATGAATGAGTCATTTACAAGTAGCATATATGTATGATTTTCTAACTCTTGTAACTTTATATCAAGTTCATGCTTCCGAAAACAAATAACTGGATAAACCATACCCGACATGGACTGGTAACCGGCCGAGAGGTTGTGGTTCGCCATGTAGTTAAGCCGTCCTGTCGGCGTTCCTCTCCCCCGGGATAAATTTGTAAATCCTATCCTATATTGAAATGGAGGGTGTCTATGAAGTCTCATATTTTTAAATTGCAAATGGAATTTATTGATACCATATATTGTTCTGGCCCTCACACAGATGTATTGAATAAAGTAAAAATACTTGAACAATTAACTGATTAAAAAAACAACCAAACCTGGTTAAATAATACATATTGAGAACTGACTTCATAACAAAATTGAAATTGTAAAGGGACTTTATGGACACCCTGTATTTTGGTGAAATTTGCTTCAAACTAAGGAGCGTCTTGACATGGTACCATTTTTCAAATAAAAATAATTTTTTCGAAATTCCAACCTTCGATTCCAACTTAATTTTTATTTCAAATTATTTTAGAGACAATCTGGCAATCGTGAAAGCTGTAGGCGATCGAGCAGCACAAGGACGAGCGTACGGGAGTCTTGGAAATACAAACTATCTACTGGGGAACTACAGGGATGCCATAAAAATACCATAGAGAGGTTGGTTTTTGGTTTCAAATTTAAGATTTTTACAGTGTTGTCATGTAATTTTCTGGCAACACTGTTTAATAGAGTAACACGAATGTATTTCTGTAACGTTTCGTCTGACCTAGGTCAGACTTTTTCAGACAAGCATTTTACAACTGTGGCAAGAAATGAATAATGGTATCAAATATTGTTCTTGCACTTTCCCCAAACTTATTTATTTCTCTCTATCGTAAACAGACCCAACATTTGATATCATTATTTATGTGCATGCAATTGCGTTTCTTGCCACAGCTGTAAATTGCTTGCCGGAAGAAGTCTGACTCCGTCAGACGAAGCCTCACAGAAATACATTTGTGTTCGTGTGCAGCAAGACTCTTGCAATAGCATCCTTGCGTTATACCGTTTTCCATATTCCATTCTGGAAAAGGAAAGACGATAAGACGATGCGGCGCAATCATATAATATACCGCGGCCTGTTGTTATTTTACCAGCCTATGACCTCTTGATGCTTACCAGTCCAGTTTGGGTTATTATTTGCCCACCCCATCAGTATTAGAGGTAAGATCGGGCCCAATAATTCCAGCTCGGCCCGACCTTGGCCCTTGGGTATTGAAACTCGACTAATTAACTGGATTTGCGGAGCTAAGCCCGAAGCAAACCCGAAATTTCATATTTTATTTCTGTTATATCCAAATTATTTATTTTATAACAAGTATTCCTTAGTTTAGCATCCCACATAGTTTAGTATATATTTCTATAAACATACGGTATATATTTATCTAAAAATAAGTCAGCGATAAGAAGCCCAAACGTCGGGTCGGGCTTCAGATCTTAGCTCCAGTCCACTAGTTCTCAATCAGGGGGCCATGATGGCCCCCTGCTGGGCCATAGAGACATTTTCAAGTGGGCCACAAGCCTATTAAAAATTACTATGGTTATTGAAAAGTTTAGTTTCATCTGCGTCATTATAGTAGTATTGTAGTAGCAATGAATGATGCTGCTGCTTTTCATCCTAATTATTGAAGTGAAGGTATTTAATTTTGCAGAAAGAGTCTTGTTTTTTATGGTAGTTTTTCCCTTGCATGAAAAAGTTAGGAGGCCACAGAATTTTTATGCAACAAAAATGGGCCACGAAAGAAAAAAGGTTGCTAATCAGTCTTCTTTAAGATAGATAGCAGTTATATATCAATAGCTGTCTGTCCAGAGCCTTGTTCAGAGTGCAATATATTGTCACAGTAAAACCAAAGTCTTCTATGTCACATTCTTCAGAACTTTTCCGGTAGATTTTCTGTGATTATGGACCAGGAGCCATTTTTTGGTCTGTGTTTAAAAGCTATACCTGTTTTAGTTTTTATTTTAGGTTGTGGTTATGTCATTTATAATTTTCATGACGTCATCACTCAAAATTTTAAAGTGAAAACAAATCTCATAGAGCCCACATGTTTGAAATAAATAAAATTATAGTCGACAATATTTCAAAGTAGTTGGCCCAGTAGTGGAGGGGAAAACGCGATTTTTTTTTGCAAAAACAAGAAGAATATCAACAACAATAATAGTTTAATAAAACAATCCACTTCATATCTAAAAACTATAAAACTTCCAAATTTAAAGAAAATAAATTACCTTCAACTCTAATTAAAATTTGAATATTTCATGGCAAGAAAGGTTGCCGGTATGAATTATACATGACTTCCACAGTACAAAGGTTTAATTGCTGGATTTAGAAAATTGTTCGTGTTGAGAAAATAACTTTAGGATCAGATTTGATATAACAATGGTTTTCAGCCTTTTTTGCGCCCCCCCCCCACCCCCCCCCCCCCCGGTACTAAATAAAAAATGGTTAAATTTGATAATATAGCGAATATTTTTATTCTTGCTCAAATAATCGAAACTCGACTCTATTTCGGTCAGTACTGGTTCCAATTCGTTTAAATTTGATCTGTAATTTTTCAAACATTTGCAAAAATAGTTCACTGACATAATATCAATTTTCACAGCCTAAATAACCTCGTTTAGATGATGACAACAATTGGCAATTTTAACCAAATCAAATGCTTTGGTGAATTTAAACAGGAGGTGTTTAGATGTGAAAAATCACATTTGCCTCTCCACTGACTGAAACCACGTGAAATCATTGTAGTGCATTGCACATTCTCATTCAGAGATAAACGTTACATGTGCTAATAAAGAAGAAGACTCATCACGAGTGACCGCTATAACACCGAGTGCCGTACTCACTCAATAAATAAAGATGCCCATCCTGAAATTTTGAGTTCTTGTGAATCTGAGCCTTTATTTGATACTTTCAGTGGTGATAAGTGGTAGATTTCTGTTAGTAAATATTTGTATGATTTTATGCTTGACTCCCTCATAGGTGACGCTGCTGAATGATAACCATCACTGGGTTTATCGCATCTTTCTTCACACTGGAATACATTATTTTTATTTACGTCACTGACTGTTTGTCACATTTGTTTTTTCGTTATGTGTAAAAATAAATTACCGACTGGCTGATAAAAGAAGTTGAAATTATCTGATAAAGCTCAAAAACCGCCCTTAAAAAGAAATTGCAATTTAGAAGATTTCGTCATAAAATTTGATTTCAGAGACGGAGTTCTTGACTCTATCATGAATTTTTCGCATTTGAGGTTTTCGGAAATTTTGTCCTGTGTGTTTCGTCTTGTGTAATTGTTCAACCCTCATTTTCTTGCCATATGCCATAAAACATATGAATAATAAATATCTCAGAAGTGTACTCGATTTATTTTGAAAGCTGAACAGCGTCCATCTTGTTAGCTTTCCTTATGAAATTTTAATGCCTTTGCAATGTGATACGTCTTGATTTGGGATTGCAAGCGTCTGCAACACTTTGTTCAAACATTATTTAAAATTCATCAGATTTTAGTTTGTTTGTTGTTTTTTTATTACTTGTACAGTGCCTATTTCAGGGCGACATGCGTTTTTGGGTAAAAAACTTTTTTCAAACTTTTCAAGCCTTGCCCCTCACCTCAAAAATAACTAGCTAACAATAAGCTACAAAAATGTACAAGTGTACCAGGTTGGGGTTTGGCCATAATTTTATTCCGATTTACCTTATTCAGTTCTATTATAAATTCTATTTTGTCATCGATAATAACATTTTATATCTTTTTCTCATTTTTGATATATGTTTTTCTCTCAGAGATTGGCCATTGCGAAAGAATTCGGGAGACAATCAGCAGAGAGACGAGCGTACAGTAATCTTGGAAACGCACACGTGCTGCTTGGAGAATATGAAAGTGCTGCCGAGTTTTATAAGTAAGTGGTGGCCTATTTTAATCTGTTTTATTGTCAGCAACATTACATTCAAATTTCACAGTTAAAACTACATTATTTTGTGTGTTATCACCTTATCGACGTAATTCAACATTGTTAAACTTCTAATTATGTTCAGGATACCTTAGTCCTGTTAGTTGGCGCTGGTAATGGCGCTTTCCTTACTGTTTTGCATTGCATAACCAATCTATTACACTCTGGTGTGGTGGGGGCGTGGCCTTTAAATCTGAGATGAAGATGCGAACACAGTTGAGTATAACATTTTGAGGCTGGCCATCATGGCACTGAGATTCCATCCTGCTTGAATAAACTAGAGCTTACTTTCGCACATTGAGTTACTCGAATGCTGACTCATTTAGTTTGGTTTCTTTTCTGCTTAATCGTAGTGAGTAGGCAGTTCCTGTTTTTGATGAGTCATTTGAAACGAAGAAAATTTGACTCATAATCGAAACTTTATTTCTTGAAATATCTCTTGTGTGACGCAATTCTACTCAGTTGTGTAGCCAAGGGGGCCGACCTCAAAACAATCCTTTTAAAATGTAAAAAAAGCATGTTTTTGTATCATACCTGAGTGATTGAAGAGTTGAACTATGTATGTCTGATGAAGTCTACCCTTCGACAGATGAAACGTACAGAAATATATTTGTGTTAGTGTGCAAAAAGACATCGAATCACTTAGGATAGTTATTACTTATCGATCTTTAGATCGGTAAGTATGTTGATAGGTATTTGTCTGTTAGATGCACGCGATAATCTCACAAAGGCGTGGTTAAATCTGCTTTTGCATGTGCATTCATCGTATCTCGGACCAGAGCCTATTGATTTTGGATGATGATTATGTCGTATAATTAGCGAGTTATTAATTAATTAGTGATGGGACTCAAGGTGTCACTATAGAGTCATGAATCAGAAACCGCATTTTGATCGATAAGTCTTCGGTTTCCGACTGATATTCTCGTCTTAGTTTTTGCTACAAGTTGTAGCCCTACAACATCCTTGCAATATATGCATACGAATCCGCTGGCACAAAACAATAGAAAAAAGGATAAGTAGTTAGTCTCAAAGAAACCAAATCATTCCTGTATCATACATATCATTTTTTTTCGTAAGCTTGAAACGCTATTGGATCCACGAGACTTGTAAACCCATGTTTTTGGCTATCTGTTACGGTCTAACTTAGCACTATAGAATTTTAGAACCCCTAGCCGCGCCCCTGGTTTTTACTTTACCCCCAAGGAAAGCCATAACCAACCATTGATTACATGAACCATTCTGAGACGGTGAGAAGTCCAGCAATGCTTTCACTTTAAAATTGTCTCATAAGGCAGCGGTTCCCCAACGTTTTGTTCATGTGGCGCCAAATTATCAGGGGATGAAGCTCACGATGCATTAAAAAAATACACTATGCAACAAAAAGTAAACGACATAGAATGGTAAATGAATTGCATTTAAAGTAAGAAACATTAATAATAAATACAAGTATGTAAAATATTCACCCATATTGAATTTGTTGGAGAAATTTGTTTTTGGGGTATATAATGACGTACTGGAAAAATTCCCATTCATCAAAAAAATTATTTTCAAATATTTGTGAAATATCATCAGTGACTTCTGTGAGAGAAGGGGCAAATGACCGTCATATAAAAAAAATTCTATTTTTTAGACGAATGCTTAACGTAGCACGACAGTTAAATGATCGAGCGGTAGAAGCCCAAGCATGCTACAGTCTCGGGAATACTTACACATTGCTGGAGGATACGAGCAAGCTGTTGAATATCACATGAAACATTACTTGATCGCTCAGGAGGTCAAAGACAGGTAAATCAATGAAGATGGGTTAATCAAAATTTTATTTTACATCAAGTTGTGTAAAGGAACTGGAAACCTATGGGCAAGGGGTTCACTTGGCTAACACAGACAGTCTCCGAACTTGTAATAGAACTGAAATAAGGAAAATCGGAATGAAATTATGGCCTAATCCTAACTCGGTGCACATACTACGGGAGTATCAAAAATGGTTGGCCTACGTTTTTTTGTTTAATGAACAGTTTTACTGAGCATTTTATCATTCAACCTGATATCAACCTGGTCTTATGGAGCTGTCAGACATCCTGTTTTATTTGTCTGCTGGAAATGAACGCTTTTTGAGTATCGGTCAAAAATTTGGACTTTGATTATTATCATTGATGAAAAAGTTGCTGCAACTCTGAAATATTTAGTATTTTTTTTCTGATTTTAGGGAGCTTAAATATTACTATTGATGAATATATATGCTGAAGTCCAACGTTTTATTGAGGCTATTATTAAACCATCATGCCATGTATAGTATAAAACTTAGATTCAATCGAAAAACCTCAGTTTTTATGAATTTTTAAATCTTCAATTTACAGAGTTGGTGAATGCAAGGCATGCTGGTCTCTTAGTAACGCTCACATCTCCCTTGGCAACCATGAGCAAGCTCTCGAGTTCACGAAAAAGCAATTATCTATTTCTACAGAGGTTGTCATTGAATACATGTATTTTGAAATTTAAAGAATCACTTTTAAAAAGGTTTTGATTTAAAAATGTTTGTTTAAAGCACATAACATAGGTCTAATCAGTGTCAGTATGAGTGACAACTTATATCCAGGGATCAATCGAAAAATAAAAATTCCAAAAGAAAACTCCTGTTTTAAACGAACTACGTTTTTTGTTTCAGGTTGGGGACATGACAGGACGAGTCACAGCTGAAAATAATTTGAGAGAGCTGATGTATGTGATGAGCCATGATAAGGGAAAGTGAGTATGCTACGTTTGTGGTGAATAATGTAAAGTAAAAGCCTTGTTATCATCTGTGTGCCATAAATATTCTCTTAGGTGCAAGTATAACTGATAGAAAGCTACTTGCAAGCACTGACATGCTTAGAGCAACGTGTGTTCATTGGTGCTATGCTAACACTAGCCAGTCACTAGAGGGCAGTATTGGGCTGTTAAAATAATACTTGAAAGTTATCTTAAATAGTTTTTGACACGTCATGTACATAACGATAGTTTAATATTATGTTGTTGTTATTGTTATTATTCTTCGTCACCATCATTATAAAATTGCTTTTCTTCTTTAAATACTGGACCAATTGCTTTGAAATTTCCAGTGGTTAAAGATTGATTTTTTCGCCAGAAGGCCATTACTTTTACTTATTTCAAAAATTTCTGTGGACTTCAAGAGATTCGTTTTGTATGTGTCCAGAATAGAAAATAGCAACACCTTGTGACGTGTAGCCTACATGAGCCTGAGCATAGCTCTCTTGTTTTTCTATGTGTTTATTGCCTGTAATTCTGATATGTTTTATTCAATATGCTGGGGACACAAACTATTTGCTCTGTGTATTGCAATGCTGTCCAAGTTGAATCAAATATTAGAATATATTTACAAATTATGACTTTCTCCAACATCAAATCCATATTGAAACAAATAACTGGCCAACTAACCCCATACCTGACATGGACTGGTAACCAAACGAAAGGCCGTGGTTCACCTTATCATTAAGTTGTCTTATCAGCTTCCCCGGGTAAATATGACAATCCTATCTTATGATTAATAGTCTTATAATCTTCTGAAAGTCAGAACAGATAATGATGTGCGAAAAATTGCTGGAATCCATTGTGGGGGTCACTGGTAGGTCGCACATTCATCAACTTTTCACAACCAGAATAAAAACAACTGGCTAACAAATTTCCTACCCGATAGGGAGTGGTAACTGGACGAGCGGCGGTTGTTTTGTCATGTGGTTAAACTGTCTTACAGACTTTCCTGTCACCAGTTATGATTAGGCCGTCTTCATCGCTTTTCCTCTTCCTGAAATAGATATGAAAATTCTTTCCTATGACTAAGTAGTCTTATCGTATTCCTCTCCCTCTGAGATAAATAGGAAACTCATTTTCACAAATTGTAAATCTGAATCAATATGAAGGTAACTAATTTATTCGCCTACTTTACATCAAGTTGTGTAAAGGAACTAAAATCTTATCGGCAGGGGGTATATTCAATTGGCTAACAGAGACAGACCCCGAACCCGTAAATAAACAAAAATGAAGAAAAACGGAATAAAATTATGGCCTAACCTTAACCTGGTACACATACTTTGGGCGTACCGATAACTTTGGGGGCATTACAAATTTGTTTTAATCAGGAATGGCAAAAACCAATTTATTTATTCACAATAGTTTTTATCCATGTTAGTGTGCAGCACAACCATTGGATCGAATCCAATATATTAAATTTTTAACGTATTCGTTGCGGATCCCCCGTTTTTAATTCATTCAAAAATTTTGATTTCATGGTCAAAGCGCTCAGTTAATAACTTTAATTAATCCAATTAACTTGGAAGGTTTACTCTGTAATTAAAGTTATCAACGCCTCAATTATGCGGTGTCGTTTAAATCACTACGTCTCAAATTACCGAGCATGAAACGGGGTTAATTATACTGTTAGATATGGTTTATCTTCGGGCCAGAATTGGTAGGGTCTTGCTTAACAGACTAATTTGACTGATTTTAATAAAATGGCTTGAGGGTGTTTGACCACTTTTAGAGATGTTGTGGTTGGTTTTTGATATATTTCATTTGATTTGTAGGATTTTTCAGGACAGGATTGGAATTTATTAAATAATCTGTAAAGAGGAGAGGTGATAAGACCTTGTCCAGTTATTTGTCCATGTTTGGTGGAATTTTTCAGGGCAGGAATGGAGTGTATTATTTATTTTGGAGGGAGGAAAGAAAGTAATACGAATTTATCTTATGGCGTACCACGGTCTCAACGTCCGGTTATCAGTTTTTTATCGGCAAAATAGAATTAGAGATTGTTTTTTGTTTCAGGTGCATAGACTTGATGGTGGAAGAAATCGTAGCCAGCGATTACGTTAAAACCACAATTCTTGAGCAAGTCTAGCAATCCTAGTTATGATTATTCATTGATATTTAATAAATGAACTTGGTTGAGGAGCTGTGGTCAACATAATACTCTTTGTGACTAGGAAAGCCCTCAAAGGGGGGTGAAGTTGTTACTTTTAGTGACACTGTAATTAGTTTTGATATCTCCTCCTAATAATCATATTATTGTGTATGAGAGGAAATATTAATGACTCATTTGACGAAACACAGCCTGTCGTTAGATTTTGGATATTTTTCATGATACTCATTGAGGGTGTCAGAAATTATTAGGGTGTCAGGCTTAATTATAACTGAATAACGGCCCCGTGTTTGGTTACAATTGTCCGTTGGATGCGAGAAACATTTGCCAGTTATGTCCCGGGATAAAAATGATATCTTTTCTTTCACTTTGCATTTATTTATGAATGAAGTAACACTTTTAATTTCCTCAATCAACCAGCATTTAAATTTTTTGAACTTAGGAAATTGTCAGATGATTCCGATGGCCGAAGAGGGAAACGCATCCGTCGTACAAGCATGGAAAATATGGAGATACTAAGATTAACACCTGAGCAAGCCAAGGTTAGTGTGGCATGACTTCTATGATTCGTGGCATTACTTCGGTGTCATAGTGCTTTGGTGCCATAGTTATTTATTTAGTATGGCATACATTGGAAGCAATAGTAAGTATCAGTGATCTGGATTATGGCACAGTTTTCGTTTTATGGCATGACATCAATGCCATGATTCATGATTAGTGTTGCATACATGCAAAGCCATGTCGAGTATCATAATTTGGACTATGGCACAGTTTCTGCATTATGGCATAGATTTAATGCTGTGGTATGACTATGACATTTCTGTAATATTGTATGGCTCCAATCCCATATTTTGTGACATGGCTCCAGTGACATACTTTGTAATGTAATAAGTTTTCGTTAGGTAATAATAGTGTTGCCCGCATTGGGAGCCATAATAAGTACCAATGCTACTGACTGTGGCACAGTTTCCATAATATGGCACGACTTCAATGCCGTGATTTGCTCAACAATTTAAATAAGCGCTGATTTTTCATCACACAACAAGCATGTCCCTAGCCAGGGGGGGTAGTTTTAAGGGCTGGGATTCCCCCTCCCCGTTGAAATGTTAAAAAAGGCATTTTTCTGTAACATACATAGCTGTTTCTGAGGTTGAAACGAATTCTAGGTCGATACAGTCCAAGTTGGCAATTAGAAATTTCATAATCATCCCCCCCTCCCCCCCTTTGAAATTCCTGGCTTCGCTCCCGTTGCTAGTCTTAAACACTTTAGCACAATACACCTTCGTAAAGCAAATTTTTGTCCTTTGGGGATTGCTTTTGTGATGACTATCATGTCACAATTGATTATTATTTGGTAATAGTGAATATTGTATTGTCATAATGATATGATTGTTACATCACCTGTGCTTGATGTAAAATTATCCTCCCAAGGGAATTTGGAACGAAATTGTTGTGAATGGGGAATAGGGAGTTGTGTGCGATAGCGCTGAGCAGGAGGTCTTATAGCAGAAATATATATGACGCTTTTTTACGTCTTTGCCTGAACAAGGGTTATGCAAGCAGCCACTGATATCTTAATGATATGTAAGGAGTTGTGCTTGAAAATAAGAATGTAGTTTGGGTGCTATCGAAGTATGTGAACCAAAATGGCAAACACCGGAACGTAGTATGTGTACCAGGTTAGGGTTGGGCATAAGCTATAAATATATATAAAAACATACTCAATACTGGCAAAATGATCTTTATTAAAAGGTACTCCTGAAGTATGTGTACCAAGATGGCGGACACTGGAACGTAGTATGTGTACCAAGTTAGGGTTAGGCCATAATTTTATTCCAACTTTCTTTATTTTAGTTCTATTACGAGTTCGGGGACTAGCTAAGTGATTCCCGTAGTATTTGTACAGGGAATTATGGCCTAACCCTAACCTGGTACAGATACTACATTCCAGTGTCCGCCATCTTGGTTCACATACTTTGGGAGTACCTAGTTTTGGATATGGTTGGGGAAAACAAAAATCGAATATTTCACTAATTCGCATACATTCTGCGAAAATGTTATTGAATATGGAATTCCGAATACATTCTGAATTGAGAGAAAGTTCATGTGGAAAATTACATAAATCACCTTAATTCATGTTGATCACATCTAAAATGACATAGATATAAAACTCAATATTTTTCGTATCATTTGTTGCCAGTTGAGATATTGTACGCTCGAGTTACCGCTCAAAACCCCTAATTTTTAAATGAAAATGTTCCAAATTATCCCTAAATTTAGAAATGTGCTTTATAAACATTATTCATGATGTTCTGGTAATATGGTGTTAAAGGTTGTTGAAAAATTTCCTTACAAAACGAGTAAGGTAAATATTATGTCAACGGTGGCAGACCGCGGCTCGCAAGCTGCATGCGACTCACCGGAGTTTTTATGCGACCATTCTCGCTGGCGATAACTATATATTATCCAAATGTAACTAAGAGAAACTGTAGCGTAACAGTTTTTTTTTTTCAAATCCATTGAGCGGTTGAAGATTATATACTTTGGAATATTGTTATTATACATACGTTTGTGTTAAGTTCTTTTCAGTTCACGGCAATGTAATATCATTAATTTCAAAAATTATGCGGCTCTCACATATTTCTGACTTGCCGCCTGCGGCAAATTTTGCCCACCCCTGTTTATGCCCTCGTTCATAAATAATATTTCAGAATTAATGCAGAATGGTAGTTTACCTAAAATCATTTTATATATATTAGCACTTAATTGTTAAAAAAATTATGCTATTGTAAATAAAAAAATTAGGATATATTTCAATATTAGTGAATAAATATCAGAATGCAATTGCAGCAGACGGCACAGTATTATTAATCATTACTTCACACAGATTCATATTACGTGTGAACCTATTGATCTTTTTCATTTTGCGTCATTGCTTTGGAAACCTTGGTTTTTAAATTACCTCACACCTGTAACAAGTCATGCCAAACATGGCCATTATAGTTTAAACAAGCTTATTCAAATTTTGATTGGAATATACCTTACCAAGCATGGCCAAGGAAGTTTTAACGAACATATTCAAATTTTCACATGCATTATGTCATACCAAGCATGGCCATTGTATTTAAACGAGCTATTTAAATTTCGATTGTAATATACCTTACCAAGCATGGCCGAAGTGTTTTAACAAGCATATTCAAATTTTAATTGTATCATATCGAGCTTTAGAGTTTTAATGCACAGATGCTAATTTTTACTTAACACAATTCAACATGCGTTTGTTATCAAGCGTATTGAAATTTTAATTGCGATATGGCACACCAAGCATGGCCCATGCGTGAAACGCTAGTTTCGAATTTCATCGAAATTGATTGATCTGGATCCATATTTTTTGTTTTGTATTTTAATTAATCATTAGGTTAACAACCGACACGTTTTCGTTAAAAAATTGCTTGCTAGCGTGCTAGTTGGCTTAATTGTTGTAGGAATGGTTTGGTTAAGTTAGATAATTTGGTTTTCAGATAGACAGATATATCATTATGTCATAATTGTTATATGTTTAACACGACAAGTTAACATCTAACACTAGTTGTACTTGTTAATGCGGCATACCTTTGAAGCCTTATTGAGTTTTACTGATGATTGAGTGTTATTATGGCTTGGATTCAGTACTGTAGTATGTGTCTCGACCTTGACATTTTTTGTGATTTGGCTTCAATGCCATATTTTGTTGTATGGTTCAAAATGCGGGAAATAAAGCGCACATTTTCCAATGATTTTAATATAACTGATATTCATGAGTTTTTATATTACTAAGCATCATGAACAGGCAAAGTTTTGTTCAATCTGTATTGTAAATTAACTCTCATAAAACAAACAAATTGCAATAACAATACATAATAACGGGTATCTATTTATTGAAACAATTTAATGTCCTGAAATACTGCTGATTTTAATATAAACGTGATATTTTAATGTATATCATAAATTTTATTTTATTTTACAAAACCGTTCGTGTGCCACGTTTGAGCGTAAGGCGTGCCAAATTTGGCACACGTGCCTCGTGTTGTGCACCCCTGTTCTAGAGATCCTTGTTCAGAGCCTACTGTGTTAATATGTAATAATACAGTGTATGCGACCCGTGCTTTATGCAATAACAGACCGAAGTGCCAGGAAATGGGGGAGTGCCCGCAGGTTCCGCTATCGTATGTATAATTAAGATATAAATGAATTGTTACAAAATATGCATGAGCTTGCTTAAACTGTGATAATGATGTGACAATGATGGTATCTAGAATACAGAAAGGTAAAACAAAGTGGTAAACTATTCCACTCAAGTTTGACTGGCCATATTAAATCGTTACGTGGGCCGTTATTCAACCCCTGGGCCATGCTTTAGGAACCACTGTTATACAGTACCTTTGTTCAGAGCCTATGATTAATCAGCAGCGTATAAAAGTAATGATGCATTCACGGTTACTTGAGTCACGGCGTATCGAATTTCTATCACAAAAGGAAGTTGAAAGAAGGGAAATAACGCTGTTGTGCCTTCGTTAGCATTTAGTGTGAGCACGATGACGCAAAAGTGAGAGCTGAAAAATTAGAATGCTTGTCTTGTTCTACTGTATAAAAGGTACCAAGATATAAAAACTTGAAAACATTTGCTGTAGCGATGTATATTTTACATATTTTGGCTGCGGCCAGTGGACAGATATTAGAAAATAAGTTTTTCTCTACATATGTAAGTGAAGAGTGAATTTATGAAAAACAAGAAAAATCAGTTCTTAAATGTTTTGTGATAGCAAGTCAGTACCTAGCTTTTGGTATGTGAGCATTGTGGCCCAATAAAGTTTAAATCCACAAAATTATGGTTTTTGGAAAATATTTTGGCGCTCCCGAAGTATGTGCACTAAGATGGCGCACAACCTGAACCCTAACCTGGTACACATACTATGTTCAGGTTGTGCACCATTTTGGTACACATACTTCGGGAGCTCCAACATTTTTCCCTATTTCGCTGAAGTCACTGCTTGACTGCAGTCATGTTCTGTGGTATAAAGAGGTATAAAGGTATACGAAATATACGCAGTTTGTATACCAATTGTGAGTGTAATGTCTTATTAAAAGTTAAATGCCAAGATATGCGGTTTTTGAAAATAGTTTTTCTCTGTGTTGCTAAAGATAGCATGCCTGCACCCATGTCCTTGATGTGTAAAGAGGTTTAAAGGTATAAGAAATAGCAATCTTATATGTAATTGGTATCCCAATTGTGAGTATGATGACTGGATATTATTAAATTCAAAAAATTAGGATCTGCACTAAGGATATTCTTTTTTTATGTTGTGTGGCTGGCTGGTAAAAAAGTATGAAAGCATAGGAAATTCAGAAAATATGATTTTCAAATACATTTGGTATAACAATGGCTGAGATATGAGGTTTTCAAACTTTTGGTGTTATGGAGCCCATGAAGAGATTGACTATTATTTACGAAGCCCCCCAATAAATTTATAAAAATAAAAAACAAAAAATTATTGGTAATTAC